AAATACCAGTCTAAGAGAAAGATACGTGGACTTCTGTGGAAGCATGTACATCAAAGCCCAGACAGAACAGTTAGCCCGAATACTGATTAAGAACGGGATGTCTAAGGTCTTCCTGTACGAGTTTGCTCATAGACCTTCCTTTTCTTTCCACCCTGACTTCATTCAGGCCGCTCACGGAGATGATGTCCTATTCACCTTTGGTCTTGTTCACCAGCTGTCCCAAGTTCCGACTGAAGAAGTGAAGCTGAGCAGAAGAATTATTGCTGCTTTTTCCAACTTTGCTAAATCTGGGTAAGATTCTGTATTCAATCCATTTATAAAATCAGATATGTACATAAACATTTAATGACAACTATAGAATAATTACATATTAATTTTTGATATAGACACTATAAATATTTGCTGCTGTGGTTCAGCTTATCTGAGGTTTCAACTAAACTGAGCTTGTAAATGTTGATTTTGTTAAATGTGATTTTATTTTTTATTAAACAGAAACCCTAATTCAGTTGACATCGAAGAAGCTCTGCAATGGCTCGAGTTTAGCAATAATCAGAGAGAAGTCCTTGAATTTTCTGCTCGTATGGAGAATAATTCCATCAGACCATCTAAGAACGACAGAGACGTTGCTTTCTGGTACAATGTTGTTCCTTCCTTATCTGGTCATGAACAAACAGTCTCGTCTCCTGATAAAGCTGCAAGAGATTCTCCTAAAATGGATTGCAGACTTGCATTAATAAGGTCAAGCTTCAGTGGTCAAGAAGTACAATACATTATATTAGGATTAGTTGCTTTCACCATTGTTTTGCTTTTGATATTGCTTATTATGTCAAGGTATATTTGTTTGAGTAAGAGAAGGATACATTTTACAAAGTTTTAAGAAACTTTTTACTTTGTAAATAAGTTATTTATGTATATTTTGTAAATTTAAAATCTATCATCCCCCCCCCCCTAAACAAGATATTTTACCATTTTATTTCTCAAATAACGAGTCTGGCTATCCAATAAACAAGGAATATTTTAAATATAGTGGTACAATGTCGTACAAAGAGTGATCATGTGATAAAGTTAGGACGCAATAATCATTTTACTAATGTTATTGTTTGTTTAGTATGTTTTTAAGTAAACAATAAACGATTCATGAATATTTACTTGGGGCAAGAAGATGTATCAGATTTTTTAAAGCCGTGAGTTCTATTTTTTCTATCAGGTAAAGTAGACGAATAGCGAATAAAACCTATTAAAATACAAAATAAATGCATGCTCAACACGTAGGTAATTGTGGGAATGTTAGATAAAATGAAATAATTCAGTCAAGAGTAACCTATCACTCGAAAAACCTTGAAAGCAAGAACTTTACTTTCTCGAAGTAAAGATTAAAACATGCATAATATATACGATTGGTTTAGAAACCCTGTTAACAGTTGTCTAAATTATCTTTAGATAAAACGAATTCAGTGCGTTTTTATTTAAAATTTTATTGTTTTATTTGGAGAGAAATGGGTAATCAAAATGGTGGAGTCAACTATAAATATATACATTATTAATGATAGTCTTTCAAGTTCGTGATCAAGTGTAGCATACTGTGAAACATTGTATATACCATTATTGTTCATTCTGTTTGTAAAGTTTGTGTTTAGAAAACAGATCTAGTTATTTTTGTATCAGAATAAAGGCTTTGAAAAAGTTGAAAATGTGTTCTTATTCAGTTCGAGAAACCCAAGCTCAGCAGATGTAAAGGAAAGTTGATGAATTGTATTAATGTTTGGTAATCTAAAAGAAATTGATGTGGAAAGCAGAACAAAATATTTATTAATATATCTTAATATTTTGCAACAAAAGGAACTATTTCTAATTAGATTTCAAGTCAAATAAGCATAAACAAAAACATTTTCACAAACGAATACAAGCACCCTAAATATATAGAAAACTGTTGGCTGGCTTAGTTTCATTTTTCGAAATATTAAAAGAAATCAACTACCTGCACAAAGGAAACAAAAACCAATTACCAATTTTTTCTCTCACTATGTGTATCCATATTATGAACACACTTCACAACGTAGCTCCTTGAACTCCCTCTATAGTGATGTCGAAAGAGGCAACCTTCAAAAAACACTTGTTTTTTTTTTCCAATAAGTTCAAGAAGAGTAATATAGCTTTAAAATATATAATAAACGCACACTAATACTTCATATAAAAACATTAAAATTCTAAAAGCACCTGGAACTGAAAAAGACGCTTTTTTTATTACGTCTGTATTCTTTTATATTCAAGAAGATATAGTTTTGATCGTATAAACTGAGATGTTTAAGTAAATAAATACATGTTTATACGAAGCAACATGTAACCTTTGTTTCTTAAAAACGGAGTATATCAGGTAACTATTCTGGGTCATACCTCGAAACGTTACTGGCAAGTCTTTGGAACATTAATTCATTAGTATTCCTTATTAAATAATGCCCCAATTCCACAAAGTGTTGTACATCCATAATATATGATACAAGGATGAGTGTTTGGAACTTTTACAGCTTAAATTTGATGAAAAATTATATTTACTTAATCCAGTTCACAGCGTAATTGCAGTCAAGCGGTTTGATAATATAATGATTTTAAATATAACTATCTGTCCTATCCCAGCCGGCCTTAAGATACCTGGAGTAGAGAAAAAAGTTATGTTTTATATCACAAAGCACTAAGGTTATTTGTGCCAAACAGACCAGGAAAATGAAAAGTATCATAAATAACAAAAACCTGAAATTACAAGAAGACCCAAATGTGCAGTAGGTGCGCCGCTAAAATCCCTAAAAACTAAATAGAAATAAAACGGCCAATGGCCCGTAACAAACTAAAAAACACGATCACTCTGGACCAGTGGTCGGCAACTTTTTTTGATCGCGGGTCAATTATATTTTTTTTTGAAAAATTTTGCATTGTGTTGGGTCAGTGATAATCATATAATTATTAATATCGGTACATGTATTTTAAATGTGTATGTTTATTTACATACTTACGACTGCGAGGAGCAATGGCGCCAATTTAGACAGGTATTTTCTCGGGGTTTACCCTAATGCTGGACAGTGTCATTGGTGATAATAATACTGTCCAGAGCAGTGGTCGGCAACCTATGACCCGCGGGTCACTAAGTGACCCGCGGCAATAATTTGGCTGACCCGCCAAAAGTTGGCTTCACCATTGCAACCCGTAAGGGCACAATCATTGTTCAGTTCAAGTTCCTCGGCTATGTGAGAAGAACAACGATATTAAAGGAAAGAGTCACGGCTACGGAGAATTTTAAGATCAATTTCAGGGAAAAATATCAAACTGGTCGAAATATTAATTTTTTTGGACGGCACGAAAGCAACACAATGGGCAATTGTGACCTCAGTGTCACAAAGGCCACGCACTGGCGGATCAGTCCGACATAAAAGAAAAAACTGTGGCCAATGCATAATCTAGACAAGATAACTTCTGATTCAATAGTAGGTTTGATCTGGAAAAACTGATGAAGTTGGTCACTCCAAGTCGACTGCCAACTGACCAGAATATATACGCACACACACACACACACTATATTATTTGATTATTAGGGACGAAACTATTTTCTGAAGTTTTTACCGCCTAATTTTCTTACTGTGCACCTTATCTACAAATATAATCTGATGTTGTTATAGTAAAGTTTAATACACACAAACACGCTGCTTTGGTTATTAGTGGCGAGTAATAGACTATACAAGTTGTTTAAACTACCACTATATGAAGTGTTAGCATATTTGCTTTGCTCTCAAAAACAGCACTAATGAGCTGCGAAATAGTCTACTATAGCGAATGAACGAATACATTAGACCTGTACGCCATCTCTTCTTCACTGGAGTTCACGATTTGTTGAAAACAAAAAATTCAAAAAAATATACAATATCTTGTCATACTGTATTTTTTACCGTGAAGCTCTTCTAGCAGCCAACTGACACATCATCATTAAACAGTTGTTAGGTTGCTCAGGTTACGAATTCGATATTTGATGGCTCATCACCTGTTGCTGTGGAAATGCACCCCGCATGTTTTTTAGCGTTCTAAGAGTAAAGTCAAATGCCAAACTTCGAGTTGGTGTTATGTGATGTCGTATACTCGTCTTCCCTTTTTTAATCTGTTGGTTTAAAATTAGAGACGACTAAGCACAGATAATTGCATAGTGTAACAACGGTTAAGTATTGTTAAACTGTTCAGGCAATGATGCTGGGATACGAATATAAATTCATGTTTGATTGTATTTTTCACTCTCTCTCTCAGTGTGTGTGTGATAATAGTGATTTGGTTTCATTGGACTGATTTTATGTTAGGTTATAAATCAAACATTGAAACTACAAAAAATACTTTTTATAACGATGAAAGCTAGTTATTTCTACCGGGCCGAATTTTGTCTACTGGTTAGTATTAGGTGGTCAAGAAATTAATGTTTTTAGATGAAAAAATCTGAACAACTTGTATATCAAAACAATACATTTATTAAATAAAATATTTCTCCATTCTTATCGATAATGCTTTTCCATCTTACAATCAGGTTGTTAATGACCTGATTAAAGATTGAAGACCTGATTGAAGCAAAAAAAAAAACATGTTGATGTCCTCTTCAATACCTTCCATATTTGCATATGTTTTCCCATTTAGATGGTGTTGCAGCGAACGAAAAAGATGGTAATCTGATGGTGCCATATCTGGAGAATATGGTGGGTGGGGGGCGAACTTCCCAACC